ATATTCCATATATATATGGAATTGTCTACTATTATAATGATATATTAACTATTTATGGTTGTATTTTTTCACTTTTTTTGTGAAAAGCACTTTTATGTATTTTTTCCTTTTTTTGTAATTAAAAAAATAAAAAAAAAGATTAATCAGTTTTATTTTATCAACTTCATAGCCCATCATTTTGAAATTGTAAGAATTTTTCAAGGATGTTTTCTGCTTCCTTTTTTTGCACACCAATTATTCATGCCTTAACATCTTGCTTTTTCATCTTTGCTATCTTTACCATTTTTCCACTTGAATTTTTTTTTTTTTACCAGGGAGAACAATTAAAACAAAACAAAACAAAAAAACCCTATTATCATGCCTATTGCCATAAACCTGAACTGCTCATATCCTAAATTAGCTTAAATATTTAATTCTAGCTTACCCAGAGTCCGGAAAGGTCTTTGATTTGGTGTCTGAGAAAAGAAACCAGGTTTCAGGGCATTTGTGATGATAATGTCAAAAAGGTCTGTAAAATCATTCCTACAACAACAATAACAACAAATTACATTGATATTTTCATCTGTCTGAGAAAGCACAAACATCATTTCAATTATTGTTTCTCTTGGTGAAAACTGTGACAATATAAATCACTAATCCAGCTAAAGGCTATATGTACGTAGATACATCTTACACGGGTTATCTGCATGCAGTTAATAAATAGCCCAGTAGTTGGAGCTGTGAAAAATATGTGAAAAAGCAATCTGCCAAAGGTGGAGATATTTTCTTACTTTGATATAATTCATAACACAAACTTACACATTTATTTATTTACCTAGAAATTTTATGTGGCCACCCATCTTAAATACATAACCCTGGGTGGCTAATGACAAGCCACAAAAAATACATTAAAAAGAATATCAAAAGAGCCACTTAGGTGAGATGGGCGGCCATACAAATCAAATCAATCAATCAATCAATCAATCAATCAATCAATCATTCAATCAATCAAACACAAATGCAAACTTCCAAAACAGAAATAAACCCCGTTGAAATAAGCCAGTAGGTATTCCAGCCAAATAACTGCAGACAGGATTCAAGCCCTCATGTCATTCGTACTTTCTAGACTGGTCCTGAGGATGCCTGACAATACTGTGCAATATGCGGTCTATGATGCTTCTAATCAGAAATGATGTATGTACAGGGATGGCAGATTTTGCAGTTACAACTGCTCTTAGAGCTACAAATTCTTTGGGGATTACCAGTACTGGGGACTTCCAGTATTCTGTGCACAAAAATTCAGAAGTGTGGAAAAAGGAAGCAAAATATGTTCTACAAGGCCTTTCTACTCTATTTCAGCTGAATCTGCTCATGAATTTAACTGGGAGTTGCAATGGAAGGCCAGCAAACTAGTTCAAACATTAAATGTTGCTCAGATTACTAATACAGCAGGAGTGAAGCTACTGTCCTGTGCATCCTTCTTAGGTGTTTGTTCTACTGATTTAAGTTGGACTTACATGGAAAGGAACAAGTAATCTGGTTTTAAAATTCATATTTCGTATTGAAGTATAACAGAACTTGATATCAATTTACCATAATCATCCCATTCTAAAACTTTTCATCATTTGGAAGAAAAGGTTTTGGCTTAATTATTGGACTGATTTGTATCAATCTCTCTCTCTCTCTCTCTCTCAACAATGAGAAGTAAGAACTTCAGGTAATATTGTTAGTGGCTTCCAGCCATCCTTACTCAGGTTGAGAGATTTGGAGGAATGCTTCAAATGACTAACCCAGCATGTGGGAAGAAACATTTCACTATCATGAACTGTTTTTAACTGACACTGCTATACTACCAGCAGGCAAGAGAAATCTGAAATAACACAACGTTCTGTGGAATCATTACACTTACCCTAAGGTGTACTCGCATAACAGTCTGCAGTAGTCGCAATGAGAGCTAGTAATTAATAACAGAATCTTTCCACTGTCCTTCAATCTTCTTAACCATTTTTTGACAGAATCAGGACAGGACTGTATATATTTTTCTGGGTTGCTTTTCACTTCAGGAAAATACATTCCACAGTTTTCTGAAAGATGCAGAATAAGATTATGTTGAATATGGCACACGTTTGACCTATCAATGCGTCCAAGAATCTGTTTTTAGCATTCATCTCAGCATTCAGTGCATTCAAACACCACTCAGTTTTAAAAATGCTTAAGTTCTTAAAAAGCAGCTGATCGAATTCCTTTGGGAAAGGTACTGAAAGGGAGCTGCCATAAATATTCTGGTGGGCATATGGAATTTGCATAACTGAGCATTCCTATGGTTTGTGACCTATTAAAGAATGTTATAAAGAAGCAAGGGAATGGAATTTCAATCCACAGTTTATACTAGCAATAACTACATTGCTGGTCACAAGTATAAAATTATTAACGTATTTTCCTTAGCAAACTGAATTTAATACTGTATAGACACAGCCTCAACATTACCTGGATACTGCTCTGCAGAAGCCTTCTAATTAAAGCAAGAACTAGAATTTCCTTAGCTATTTCTTAACTAAGAGAAACAGTTACTTCTGAAAGCCTTCTTGTACCTGCAGGTTCTCACTTCTAATTCTGAAAAAAATGTGAATCTCAGGGGAACGTAAACAATAGGTTCTACTGGTTCCATTGTGGGCTAGGCAATGCAATGTTTACATAAAAGGGGAAAGGTTATATTTCCTATGAGTAGAAGTCACCAGATCATTAGCTGAACATTACATGCTCCAGGAGGGACCCAGAAGATTCTGATATAAATCCCTCAGTTTCAGAAAGTTAGTTGCTAGAACAATGTCTACTCACTGGCATGTTGCCTGTGTCTAGGATATATTGTTTCCTGTTTCTGTGTGGGACCCCATGTGTATTGATCTTTGAATCTGGATTCTAGGACTCTCTTTATTGAGATGGAAGTTCGGCCTCCATCTTTTCAAGTTCTTTTACTCTGATACTTGCTGGATGATTCATCTTCCATATCCAAGTGTACTCAATAAGGAAGAAGACTCTACCCAGTACAGAACAAAAAGTATGACCGTGAGATAATTTTATAACTCTTCCTCAAAACTGAGTACTAAAAATGAATGCTCTAACTGGAATTTAATAAACAAACTTATTAAACAACATCTTAAAAGAAGGCAACATTTCACTATCTAGCAAGCAAAAGTCCACATGAAGTGGAATGGTAATACAGCAGTTCCTACTGACTGATCAGTACTTGAATCATATTTAGGCAGAATTTCCAATGGCTGCCAAAGATATACACTTCTGATTGCAGCTTGCAAACCCATCAGTTAATATTTCTACATATATTCATCTCTCCCACGAAATATCTGTGGTCAGCTTCCCCGAATCATTTAAGAAATCTTAGACATTACTTTTCCATGTGGAATGTACACAATTCTCTTCTGATCAAAACCAAAATAAAGATTTAAGCTTTGTAATCTTCAATTATTACATGAGAAGGAACGAAGGGATATTGAAATTGCAATATTTGTAGCTAACAAAATGGTCTTGGCAGATGCTTCAAAACACCACCTGGATTTAAACCACTGACTTCAACAGAACAAAACTGCTTGCATCCAAAAGCATTAAATGGCTAGTCTCTTCTCTTGGATTTGGAAACTAGCTCATTAAGAAACAACTTAATTTGGTAAGGAACTCATAACAGAACCAAGTCTGTTAAATTCAGTCTGGCAAAGAAGGTATCGCTGATATTTGGGAGAACCACTGAAGTTTTAATTCCCATTGTGCTGAGGCAGATCAACAGGACATTCTGTAAGTAGAATAGAGATGAGGAGAATTAGGTTTGCATTCTCCAGATGTAAAGATGTTCAGTTCCTAAGACAGGACTAATTTAGCTCTATCAACTGTGGAAGAGGGGCATAATCTGAGACCCCAGGCTGCATCTTGCCCTTAAAACGTTGGCTCCTTTCCCCCCAAATTGTGGGCAAATTTAATTTTTTCATGCGATAAAAGAGCAAAATTGAACAGTTTTCATATTAATTGTATTTGATTTTGTTTACACTGAATGACATTTAAATGAAATGTTGAAATGTTTGGGTTTGTCTTAGCCCCACCTACTAGTCGGGGAGTAGAATTTGCAGCACGCTATTCAAACTCTAAGTCCCGTCCTCAGCATGGTACAGTAAAAGTTCAGCATTCCTGAATATAAAGAAGTGGTCACCATAGGCGAAATCTAGAAAATCCTCAGTCAGAAAAACAGAAAGGAGCCATTCCTTCACAAGAGGGAAAGACTTGGAAGAGGTGGCAGATCAGGCTTGTTGTGCTTTATGACACTTAACATTGTTCTGTCTTCTTCATAAGTCATAGATGAAATGGTAAATTGGTGGTGGATTGGCAACTTTTAAATTGCAAGTTATGCTCATCATGAAATGTTTATGAGTGTGCAACCCTGTGCCTCTTCCAGTCTAGCTTTCTTCTTAATGTACCAATTTCCTGTATGATGGAATCTTTTTTATTGAGTAAAAACTCTAATCCAAATGCTGTACAAAATGGTAAGCTGAGGCATAGCTTTTCAAAATCCAAATACAGTCCTTTGAGCTGTAATAACAATGAAACCACATTGTTCCTCTAATAGAATGGATGCTATAGCTTTATCTGGAAATGACGTTACTGTCCGGTAATCTGAGTAAGAAATCTGCCTAGAATTTATTTTGGAAACCTACAGCTTCTTGATAAAAATAATCAGATGTATCAAAGTATGCTTTTTTTAAAAAAAAACTTGTCTCAAAACTCTCATTTTTGGGGATTTCTGTAAGCTACTCAGAAAGTAAAGAAACACGTTTTTGCTGAGATTGTATTATTTTTTTTAAACTTTCCTTTAATTTGGTATTTCTAATGGACTGAAACCTAGATAAGGGGCACAAGTCTATGAAGAATTACTCCAAAAACCGAGTAAGCCTGGCTTGGTAAAATGCTTGAATGAATTAAATATTGGGGAGCCCTATTAGATGTTCTTTACAGTATAGAAAAAGATGGATATAAAATGTTGTAATACAAAATATATTTTCAGCTCACTTTGACATTTCTTTTAATGAAAACCTAAACATTATTACAAACGAACAAATAAGTAAGAGCGATGCCAATTTCTGGCTTAGCTTATAGGATTGTTTTTAGACACTGCAACTAGTCCAAACTATGCTAGTGTTTTGACTGGCTTTAAGAGAATAGAGCAAATAACACTGTTCTTACATCAGTTGCTAGTCAGTTTGTTTTTGGGTGGAAATCACAGCACTGGTTATAGCCTTTACATTCCTAAGGGCTTGGAATCAAACCACCTAAAAGTCCTCTTATTCCACATAAATCTGTCTGAGCCATAAAAATGGAAAGCTTTCTCCCTGAACTTTAAGTGTCCATATGACATACTTTTTAAAAAAATCCTTCTGTACTGTGAACCTCATTATTCCTGGATCAGTCTGGCATTGATTGTCTCAGTGTTCAGGTACTACCTGCATTTTTCTAGTATTTTTGCCAGACTGATCCATCTAGCTCAGAAGACCCTGAGTTCTAGTCCCATCTTAGGCACAAAGCCAGCTGGATGATTTTGGGCCAGTCACTCTCTCTCAGCCCTAGGAAGAAGGCAATGACAAACCACTTCTGAAATCTTGCCAAGAAAACTGCAGGGACTTGTCCAGGCAGTTGCCAGGAGTCAAAAAACAGACTCGAAGGCAAGGTATATATTCTCAAACTTGGCAAGCTTAAGACATGCGGACTTCAACTCCCAGAATTCCCCAGCCAGTTTGCACATGAATTTTGATAGAAAAAAATTATTTTGTGTAGAAAAGATTTGTGTGTGCAAAGGAATGTACACAGAACATTATTTTTAGAGCAAACCACTTGTGCCGACTTTCCACAAGTAAATCAGAAAACCACATACTGTAGGTGAGGATACTGTCATCAGAATAATCAATCAAGCCTCAATAATGAGGCAATAATTGTCTCGAACAGCACTTCTACTGAGCTTTCAAATTTGTAAGACCTTTCCAGTCTGATCTCTTTATAAAATAGTTTAAGTACTTTAGAAAGAAATGGTATAAATCTGATTCCAATGAAGCCCACAGATGATTCCTATTTACCATTCAGCATGACTTTTCCATATTGTTCAACTCCCTTTGGAAAAAGTTACCTCATGTCTGAAGGCACTGGCCATGCCAAGAGTCTGACTGTCGCAACAGAAGGAAGAAGCAGCGCAAATGCAAAACGCAAAGCCAGATTTCTAGGCGGCGCTGGCTGCGAGAGCCGTCGCTGCTGCCAACAGCTCTGCAGTAGGAAATGGGGACCATCTGGCAGAAGCTTCAAACTGGGCACTCTAACAATCGCAGCAAAAATGAGCAAGCACCAGAGGCTGACAGGGCTCTGAGGTGTTCCAGAGAATCCTCTGCTCAGGCGTTTGTCTGGGGGGTAGACGTTTATATCATTTTCATTCTAGGCCTGGAAACCAAATACCAAATATTCCTATGAATGCATCCCTCTATTTCACTTTTTCAACAGATCTCTGCTATTTATAACTTCTAGTACTAAAACAAGGAGCTGTAACAAAAAGCTGGTATTTGGCAGCCAAGGCAAACATTTTATACCAAGTGGGATGTAACCCAAATCAAGGAAACTGGGATGGCTTCCGAAAGACAAAGTCCTCGACGTGAGGGGAAGGAAGGGGGGACAGGGACAGAGACAATATCTTTACAAATACTTTGATGCGTTCAAGAACATTTTTACCGTGGGAATTTCACAAAACCATCACTACATTTTGCAAAAACAAACAAACAAAACCCACCACCACCACCACCACCACCACAAAACAACAACAAAAAGAAAAACCACCCTAAACCATCACAGCTTTGAATACCTTCTTTGGCATTTACCCTTCTCCCTTGCCTGAACTTATTAACTATGCCTGTATGGCATAGGGCCTGGATATCTGAGAGAATGCTTTTC